CGCCATGACATGACATATTTCTTTGAAAAACTGAAAGCCATCTGTTCTATTATATTTCAAAATTACTACATTGCTTATTGTTATCATTGCTGCTGTTTTAGGATGCATTTTTCATTGCTTTGGGAAGTGAGAAAGCAACAGCACTTAGAGCCAGGCAGAGTACAAGCTAATGATGTATGCATTTCACACATACAGCTCACCCAGAGTGGCTCATTCTCATCAGCTACATCACTGCTAATCCTAAAATGGGCCTCTCCTATTCCAGCTGTCTAAACTCTTCATGGGTCTTCCTATTATTTCAATTTTCCCCCTATATGATATGGAATTTAATTTTCAGAGGCTTAAAATAGTAAACACAATGAATATTTTTTTTCCCCAGCTGACACCCTGGGAATTTTCATGTGGGGCTCTGATTAATGCTGATACAGACAAACCTCAGATATGTGTTTATACACTCTTCTTTAGGATAGAAAGTAGCTGTACTGTGAATTTCAAAAATGTGTGCTGCATCTGCTGTAATTACTGTCTTTTGGACTTCTGCAGGATAAGAGTCTGATTTAACAAGGAGTTATTGCAGTAAGGTTGTTGCTACGGCACCTTTCTCACATGCTACGATTGTGACTGGTTTTTAACGATTGGAGAAGTCTGTCTGATTATTCCAATTAACTCAATAGCAACAGCACTGAAGAAAATAAAATATGCAAGTGTTGCCTTCTGAGATTATAAAATGGTGGTTAAAGAAAGATTGGTTTATATTGGCTTTTGCAGTCTGTTGCTATTTCTGCACTAAAGGGAACATGAACTGACTAGAGCAAGATTGCAAAAACACCGTCGTCCTCGAACTGGTAGACTTTAGGACCAGAGGAGGATTTAATGGTGCCTGAGACCATCCATGGTAGAAGGACAACAGTGACCCTCCCCTAACTAGTCTTTATATCTCTGTCCTTACATTGAGGGTGGAAGCTTCCAAAGTAGGGTTGATAACCAGTGCTTTTCTGATGCTACATCCCAGCTGTACCTCCTGACTGGATGGATTATACACAGATCTGTGTATTTGTACATGAAAATGCAGCTGCAGATATTGGAGTGTGTGGGCACCTGTGCTGGCTCAGATGAGTCGGGGCTGTCTTACTGACAGTGTCACTGTTCTGGCATTTGTAGAGCATAAGAATGATGGGTTTGTTCATAACTGGGCTTTGACGGTGCAGCTTGGTGATGGGAAATAGAAAGCAGCCAGATAAATGTCATCTCTATGAAGCATTTCTCACACAGAGAACTATGGAGCTGGGTAGGTCCTTTATACACTTTTGTAAGTCAGTCAGGCAAGGGACCCTGCATGCTCTATAATGGCATCTTTGCAGATGCCACTGCAGCACTTGTACAGTTATTTTTGCACATGACTTCAAACTGTCTGAAAAGTCAAGAAATACGCTCCAGAGACTGGAAATTCAGATTGCTTAGAAAACGTTCCACGAAGTGGATTAGTTGCTTTAGGAAACACATTGCAGGGGTAGGCTTTGGGTTTGGAAATTTTGGTTGGTTGGTTGGTTGGTTTTCTGGTGCTATTCTGACATTCACGGTCTTCATTGAACTACATGGAAGTTTAATTTCTGATGAATGAGAGCAGATTTTGGAATCTGTGTCATTTTATGGTGTTTCAGGAGGCCTTGCTTCATATTACTGGCCAGATACTCTGACTTTGAATTTCGTGCTGGAAACAGAGTCCTGGATTTGTACCCTCACGTCCCTTTTCTAGTTAGCCTAGCTTTGAAGGATGGGTCATCGTGTGCCTAAACCTGTCCTTGTCCTGGATACTTGGGATCTTTCTTACCTGGTTTAGTGAACTAAAATGCACTAAAAAGCACATGCTCAACTGCTCTACCAAGACAGGGGAAGAGGCAGGTTTGTGTGACTTTGGGCAACGGATTGACTGCAGTGAGCTTTTCCCCCTTACTGTATTCTTTACTGGTTAGGTACATAATGTATCGGTGTGAGAACTGCAGATAAAATGTATTTGCAGTACAGGGTATAGCTAGTTTCTTTCATTGCTAGTTTATTGCTATTACTGATTCCTGGATTCTTGAATATGCTCTTGTCTTTGCACTTTATGAGCTAATGTTAGGGCAGAGGGGTGGTTTGGTTTGCTTTCCATGTAACTATAAAGTAGCTGCTAATAATCATCAGCATGAAACTCACATTCTGTTTAAATTTATTAATAAGATGTCATATTAAATTGTTGACTTAAGCAAGCACTATGTAATGGATATAGTCACTGTACCTTGTTAACATTTCCACAGCTCATTTAGCCCCAATAAAAAGAAACCATCTTTTCAGAATTCTAATGCACTTAGTTGCTCATCAGTATCACTCCAACATCACTTAATCTTGCTAATGTTTTAGAACTGCATGATAGAATTATAAGGCAATTGATAGCTCAATCAGGGGGTGGATGGCTTGAACTTTGCACAAGATGTGGGCAAAAACTTATTGAAATGAGCTTTATTGAAGGTGTTTTGCTACTGTTCCCAGTAACGAAGGTTTTGAGTTACTTCTGAGGGCCTTGGAGTAGTTTCAGGAGGGCAGAGAAAAATAAAGCAGTGTTATTACCCTCTTGTCTGCATTTGAAAGGTTTGCTGTGCAGTCAACAGCCTATCCTAAAACTGTCAATACAAGTCTACAGCACTGCTGTAAATTCACTGCAGAGATTAACAAGCAATTCTTTCAAAGTGTCTCACTTAGTTATACAGTACGTATAATAATCCTTGACACGGCAATGTCTCCTGAACATACCACTCCAGAGGAGGGACTGAATGCTGTTAGTGGAACACCCTAACAAGCAGAATGAGCAAAATACCTAAAAGATAAAAAGCATCACCATATCGACATCCATTTTACAATATCTCACTGTAGATGCATAAACAAAGACATTTACTTAAAAACAGAGGTTATTTGTTAGGGGAAAATGGTGAATTTTGGAGCTCAACGAGTGTTCACAGGTCAGAATTCTCCAAGAGGTTTGCTCAGTTTTTAAAAAAAAAAAAAAAAAAAGGAAGAGGCAGAAAATGGAGTATATATGTATGGATTTTGCTGGATGTTTATCAAATGCCACCAAATTTGAAAAGTTATCCTTTTATTTGTCTTTAATTTTGTTCAAGGTTCATCCCAGCTGAAAACTAGCTCCCATGTGTCATGTCACTGTTACTATTTATCAGCTACTTGAACATCTGTTTTCCAGAAACTTTTGAAAGTAGTTGTTTCCAAAGGCAAAGTGATGACTAGAAGATTAGACAGTGTCTCTTAAGCAGCATTTTTCATTAGCTATTTTAATTTGTAAGCTTTAATTAGAGTCAAAATATTTGCCATGGTAGCTGGGGCTTAGTTCCATAAAGAAAATAAACATTGTTTTAGTTTTATTAAGTACAAGTCTAATGTTACAGTCAGTTCTTCCATGGCCTCCAATGAAGTCCTACTGAATGCAATAGAGCTTATTACATGCAATAAATTCCAGTATTTCTTGAACACTTTGTAGACTAGAGCCCAGAGATACTCTAATGTGGTCATATACTGCTTTATAAGAAAGTCTTTTGTAAAAGGAACCACTGAAATCATCTCTCAATCAAGTTCCTGTCCAGTGATCAGATGGGATCTCCCTTCTTCTCACCAGCCTTCACCCAGCTTAAGAGCCAACTCTGAGGACTACATGTCCCTGTGAAGGACAACTTGTTCAGAGGGTAGTTTTTGCCACGATAGTTTTCCCCAACACTTTCCTAGGCATAAGTTACTCACAGCAGTCCTTACTGGAGGCAATCCCACTGCCCTGGGGGAGGACTGGTGGCCAGAGGCAGGAGAAGGATGCAGACAGTCTCACTGCATTAAGCCACTACCACAAGGAGCACGTATCAGACAGGACACTGCTGTGGACCCCAGTAAACACACTTTTCTCCCTCTCTTTCCTATGTAACTGCAGACAAGGACAAGTCCATGGAACTTAAAACAGACTGGTCATATTTTTTCTTACCCTTTTGAGAAAGAAAAGCATTTAACACCCATTTTGTTACTATACTTTTCTCATGAAGGGCTAAAACCTGAAGTCTTATTTTTGTGTATTATCCCTCTGCTATTGCTCATAGATGTGAGGTCTGCAGGACTTTGTCTTAAAGCTCTTAAATTATGATTACTTCTTGCAGGCAATTTTGTTGAGGAAGATGTGGTGATGGGAATGAGGAGTTTGTTTAACAGTTGCTTAATTAAGGTATTCCCAGTCCTCTTCTGTCGAACACCATTGTATGCAACGCTTTAGTTAACCCTCAACTTCCCTGGGAAGACTGTTCTGTACACTGGAATAGGGTATTGAACAGCAGTAATAGGAAGGAGGGGTACTCAGTTGCCTGATCCTGTCCCTAGCGTGGCCTCCACAAACCCTTATGCCACATAAAGCACACAGAGATGGAGATACATGTCCGGGAACAGGTCAGGCAGGCAGTGGGGGGCAACTGTGGAGACGGTGCACGTGGTGCAATGCAAGAACACCAACGAGGGAAGGAAGAGGGTGGCCATAGGTGTAATACTGGTCAGGAGCTTGTCCGCTGCTCTTCACAGCTATTGCTGTGTTCAAAGCCTTGTTTATGGGTGAAGAGGAAGCATACCTAATATATAAGGTATGCTAATATACAATATATAAGCAGAGCCAAGAATGTATTGTTAGTATTTCTGTAATCTTATGATCTAGTCATTATTGACTCAAATCTAATTGTTTCAGAGAAAGAGAAGAATAATGTAGCTAAAGTTGTTACACACAAAACCTCTGTTTCGTAGCTTAGTGCTGAAATTGCAGTTCCCACCAGATTCCAAAGCAGGCTGAAAGCAATGCCATGTAATTGAGAGAAAGGGAAATGGAGGGGAGCTGCGATTCATCACATATCTGTGAGTCAGTTTAATCCCAGAAGATATGTCCTCCTTCTATTTTTAACACAGCTCTGCTTTTTCTGTTATGTTCACAGGGGAGACCAGAGTTTTCAGAAGTAGTCACAAAATTAGAAGAATGTCTGTGCAATATTGAGGTAAGGACCTTATTTCCACCACAAGGTGTCTGTGCATGTGCTGCATGGTCGGGAAAGCAGCAGCAGTTGAGGAAAGGCTTTGGAGCCTGCAAGCTGCTTGGGCTGCTTCATCCTATCGCTAGCAAACACACCGTATTTTTAAGGCACATTGTCAATAGTGGTTTATATGGGTGCCAGAAGGACGAGGCAGGGACCAGATATTGCTGTGAGTGTCAGGAGCTACTCAAGGAGGTACGCTGAAGAGAGAGCATGAGCAGTGCTGTGGGGATGCACTTCACGGTAGTCCTGGGTAGAATTTTTTACTCCCATTCATCCTATTCAAGACTACTTTGTTTAAAAAGAAGACAAGACAAACAGACCAAGGCCCTTGGGAGAAAGGTAAAAAGAGAAAACATAAGAAGGATAAATGCAAAGGCGGTTCCTGCTTTGGACTGTGGCTATGACACAGATGGATGTATCAGCCTTCAGCCTGGTGTAAGATAAGTGGTCAAACAGAAAGTAAATGATTCAGGGCTGCAATTCCTGAAATTATATTTTCTCTGTGTGTTTGTGTGTGTACGCACATAAGAGTTTTGAAAAAAAACAAAACCAAAAAACCAACCTCCTTTTAAAATGGATCGCTGCTCTTGAGCTTAAGGGTCAGAAAAGACACCCATAATCTATTACATTTCTCCATGCTCTGACTGCAGCTTGTTGCTCCATTCGTAGGTGGAAGCTTATTTTAAGGTTTAAAAAAAAAAAAAAAAAAAAAGTGAAGCACTATATCACAAGAAACTGTGTCATCTCATGGGAGACCTGACTTCTATGATACACAGACAGCAGTGCATGCAGGAAGAAATCTGGGACAAGAGCTTACATACAAAAAAAAAAAAAAAAACCAAGCATTATTTAGCTGGGGAGTTAAACCTAAGCTCCACTGTGTCTTCAGCAAAGCTTTGTTTGAGAGGAGTTTTAAGGGAACAAGCTCTCTAGTATGTTAAGTACTGCAGCCAATGAAGGATGAAGGTGGAGAGTTTTCTCTCTCCACCCCCTGCTACTTCCTCTCTTTTTGTTCTCCTCTCTCAGGAAATCACTTCTGCCCCTTCTAAGTATCTCTGAAACCAGGAGTGGCAGGGACTTTTTTGCCAGCAAGTCTAGGTCCCTGCTGCTGCCAATGTTGTACGGTTGGTATATATATGTTTCAACACATAGACTGATGTGCTAGCCCTGCATTTACATCGCCCCATCAGTCTGAATTCCTGTCCTGGGATACTCATACAGGACCACTGTGATCAGGCAGCACTGCCACCTTTCTCATACAGATGGGAAAGTCTCAGTCGGTGGCTCCCGCTGGGGAGGCAGTGACAGCTCCCAGCTGCACAGTGGATGCTCGCAAGCCAAATAACTCATGGCTGAGCTAAAGCGTATCTTCTGGAAAGCCACCCAACCCCAGCTTGAAAACCCCAGGCGATGATGAATTGACCGCTTTATTTGGCAGGCAGCATCCAGTTCTCCTCAGGTGATCAAAGTCAGGAGGCACTGCTTTTCTCAGCCAAACTACAAAGGAAATGTGGGGGACACAACTTACGAGAAAGAGCTGAGGAAAGACTTGTAAATATGTAATAACAGTGCCTTTTTTTTTTTTAATCCAGTTAATGTCTCCAGCCTCCAGCAACAGCAGCGGTTCTCTGTCCCCCTCCTCATCTTCAGACTGTCTCATTGCACGAGGAGGTCCTGGCCGCAGCCACGTTGCAGCGCTACGTAGTCGGTTTGAGTTGGAATATGCCTTGAATGCACGAGCTTATGCTGTCTGGTCACAGAGGTAAGTACCCGTCATCACAGAGCTGAGGGGAGTGCTAACTCTGAAAGGGATAGAAAGAGTTCTTCCCAAGACTGCATGGCTCACGTGCCTAAAACGGGACTTCCCTGCAGCAGGGATTGTGCCCAGCTAGGGGAAGTGGCTGAGCGGGAAGCCAGAGGTAGAAACATGCGCCGGTGCTGATCCACTGCCAGAGCCAGCCAGGGAAGGCCCTTCTGCAGTCTCTTCTTCTCCTGGAACTGCTGGGTGCAGGGTGTTTGGGTTATCTGAATGCTGTGGAAGCCATCCTGGCTGCCAAGACAACAGCTAAGCATTTGCATTTTTCACTATGAGTAACATAATAGTAGAAAATCAAGTTCTGCTGTGTATGGGCTCTACACGCAGTACCACTGCTTTGTCAAATGAAACAAAAGACCGATGACTGCCCATCCAAGGGGATGGAGACGGGCGGTAATTAGATGGATGTACCTTTACTACCTGCCAGCAGGTCTGGGAAGGCCAGCGTTTATACCACAATATGTTTTCAGTTTGAAAAATTTAACCAAAGAAAAGCTAAAACACACACTTTTCTTTGGAAAAGAATAAAGGAAAAAATATTCCAGTGTGTGGCATCAGTGACAAGATGGAAAACCCAGGTGAGGCCATGGGCAGCATTTCAGTACCAAATGACGTGGCTGGAAGCATCTGGTGTCAACTGCGGCACAAAGGCTTACAAGCCTCCTTCACAGCATGGGCACAGTTCACATTTCAGAGAGCTGCTCATATAGTCACTTCTGTGAAGTAATGCCATTTAGGGGAGCTGACTCCTGCAGGAAATTTTTTTGTGGTTGACAGAAGAGTTTGTTACACTGAAGGCAGTATAACCTCTACGTACTGTCTGAAAAATAGAGAAGGCTGCGTTAGGGTGTCGCATCAAAATGGGAGGGCAGGACTTGCTAGTCATCGTAAGGGGCCAGCATTACCCCGTGAGCTCACTTCTCAGCAGAAATCTAAGCCCTCCAGAAATGTGAGAAGTATATTTGCTGACTCCCATCACAAGGATGGCTTGTTATCTCTGCCAAAATACAAAGCAGATGTGTCCTTCCGATTAGGAGGAATAGGGCACACTTGGGAAAACCCAGCTGAAAATCCTAGAAATAAGCAAATTTGGGAAGAAAGGTCACACTGAAATGCCGTTATAATTACTATGCATGAGAACATTTGTTTCCCATTACATTTATATGTATGTGTCCCCTTAACAGTGTGCATAGCTTGTGTCTGACCAAGCGTCTGAAAACTATTTTCTAACATGCCCTCACCTCTATTAGATTCTAAGTATTAGTGGAGTTTGTTTAATGAGAGGGAGCTTTATGGACAGGAAGAACCCAGTTCCCTGATCATAAAAGCCTGTGATGAAGATAAAACATGGGGAGAGACTAGAGATGCCAGGGAGCAGCTGTGGTAGAAAAGCAAAGTAATTGAAGAGGTGCCATTTTTTGATGTTATATTTTTCAGGTCTGGATTTTAGGTTCTGTTTTTTCCCCTTGATCTCAAATTGTGTTACGAAGAGGGATGTGCTACTGGAAGATGGTGTTGCAGTACCAGGAGAGAGCACGGCCAGGCTGGGGCTGTCACCTGCGCTTGCCACAAATCCCAGGCTGCTGGCTGGGGAGGGTGGCAGGTGGAGGTGTCCGTGCTGAGAAGAGCAGGGACAGACAGACAGAAACCAGACTGTCCCAGCAGGTACAGAGGCAGGAGATACAAATGCCAAGTCTCTTTTCCTTAAGGAAGAGGAAAAAGATCTCAGCCTCACAGAGATTTGTGGGAGTCAGAATTGCTGGGGCTGTTCCCACCAGAGTACATTCTAAAAATTGAGTATCATTCAACTTATGACCATAGAAGGACAAGAAGAACTCCCAATATTTTTTAAGGCAAAGTTACATGTGGGTTCTGTATATTATTGTACCATTAAGTTAATATCCGAGGCAGTCTACCCTACCACTTGGGAGACCTGGTTTTGAGGGCAAATTTAGCAGTCTCCCATCGCTATCCCATGGGGAGGGAGAGTACTGTGAAAATGAAATGGTGCCCTTAAATCTCTGCCAGAAGAGCAGTGCACTTAGTCTAAACTTTACCCTTTAGCACCACTTAGCAGCCAGAAACAGTAATAGCAGAGCAAGCCCTGCACTCGTGGTACGTTCCTATTAACTGGGGTGTGGAGAGTCAGAAATAAAATCAGCTAAAATGAGAAGCTGGAATAGAGGAGCAAAATGAATCAATCCTTTGCCTGTTTGGGGGCTCGTACAGAGAGGCAGAAGGCAGACGCTTCCAGACAGACACTGAAATCTTTTGCATGAAAATATAGATCAGACCCAAAGCGTTCATCTGGCAAAATGCGATATCCTATAAATTGCATTGCTTTTGTCATATGCTGCTGGAGCAGGACACGGAGCTGGGCACTGAGGTCAGGATGAAGGCAATGTCAGCTAGACTTTAATTTTCTGTAAAGGACCGGATTTTGCTGTTGAGTGTAATAGATTTGCATGAAAGGAATAAGAAAGTGACATATCTAGGTTAGCGTAGACAGGAGAGAGAGCGAGAAGGGGCACTTAACAAGTGCCCCCCTTGTCCTGTAATTCAGTGTTCCCAGTGCCGCACTGAGGCTCGTTAGCCAACCAAAACGGGCTCCTCTGTAACCCCAGTGGTTATTTAAAGGTGGATTCTTTTATCAAATGCTCTGCCATACAAACAGCGTTCAAATCTATAAATAGCACCCAGAAAGATTCACCCAGAGGCACAAAACTCAACGAAAAGGGAATGGTTTCCACAGTTTCAGTAGTTTTTCAATTATACAACACACTGAGATGATTAATGACTTCACTTCTTAATGACAATTATTTCTTAGGGTTTCATTTTTGTAAGCATAGGCATTTTCAGAGGGAAGGGGTCACGCTGGTTTTTTTCCCCAGCTGGACTGTATTCCCTGGGCTGCCTCCTGTTTCCATCTGCTCTGAGGTCTTCGTGTCTTATGAAACACCACAGCACGCAACTCCACACCACGGCAGAAACAATTTGTCTGATGAAATCTCCGTGTACCATGCATGGAGTCAGCCAGCCGTGGCACTGAAGTTATGTGTTTGTTTCTTGCCCTGTAACTTTAGCGTCTGTGGAGCGGATTGCTCTCCAGCATGGCGGGATGCAGGAGTCTCGTAATGAACTGGATGTGGTAGCAGCGCAATTTAACTGTCTGTCCGACAGGACAGCTTAACATGTCAATTCACCACTGTATGGAAGCTTTAACTGTTGATTTTCTACTTCTTTACACCTTTAGCATTTCCCACGGAGTCCAAGGACAACATCTGCAAAAGAATAGTCTTTTCTTGTTTAAGTAGCTCTCAATTAACCCAAGTCTTGGATCAATGGCAAGTACCTGGTCCCTTACAAACCACCTTTCCTCACAGAACAGAGGACAAGAAGAGAAAAACCAAGTTATCCCCTCAAGTTCTTTTCAGCTCTTTTCCAAGCAGCTATTTCTTCCCCTTCCAGACTTAATGCCTAGAGAGGCTGCTAAACAACTTACTGAAGATGGTTTCAGCTCTTCTGGTTAGTTAACATAAACCCTCACCCAACTGACAAGAAACTTAAAGAAAAAAATATAGCAAAGAGACTGTGTGAATGCGGTTCAGTCAGCAGTTCTGAGAATAATTGGATTTCAAGATTTTCTGCCTTCTCCTAAAGTCAGGGCCATGGCAGAGTGGAGCATGTTACTTATCGCAGATTTGTATTATAATTCTCCTCCCAACAGCTGTTTATTAGCAGCAATTCTCTCCATCTTTTTATTTTTTTTTTATGTTTACAAAACTAGAGGATTCCTCTCTGCTGTTTTCACTCTGAGCTGTTCCAAAGGCAACGAGGCCAAATAACTCGCTTAAGAGTTTCTCCTTTCTGAGGAAAATCTCACGTAGGACAGGCCACCACTGTGGTTCCTCTGTAGCTCCAGGCAGGTGTCCCTGGCACAGCTGGCCCTGCCAGCCTCCTGTTCGGCAGCCTGGCTGGCCTCAGGCCCATCTCTCTTGCCCAACATGTCAGGAGTTACTCTGTGAATGCTGCGCTAAGAATTCAAGCAAAGTGTATGTTTTATTTCTTCCCCTGGAGACCTCCTGGCTCTTCCCACAGCCTTCGGCTGCTGCAAGAGCTTTCTGCAATCCTTTCAGATGCAGATTTGCCAGCCAGTCATTCACTGGCCTTTTGCTTCAGCCTCTGACTGGACAGTGTTTTCCCAAAATAGACCTCCTTATTGTTTCCCTCTGCCCAAAGAAGGGCTTCTTGTCCTTAATTATGAATGAGCTTCAATAATGCAAGTGATACAGTAAATGCATGCACGTTCCGTACCATTGCAGGTCAGCCCTCAAAGGGCTTTCCATTCCTAGGCACCCAGGCGAGGGGCTGGGGGGAGAGGCAGCTCTGCTGGCAGCAGGGTGAGCAGCTGGGTGGGTGGGTGCGTGGTAGAGGAGCTGTGCAGCACAGAGGAGGAACAGTCCTTTGGGATGGCAGGGAGCAGAGTGGGGAAAGGGGTGAATGGTCCATCAAGAGGAAAGTCAGAAGCAGCATGGAGAAGTATGGGATAGTGAAAAGGTGGGTAGAAACAATATTCCTGAGGTACTGGCTGAGCTGGGGTGAGCTTTCCCTGCTCCTTCAGGGTACACCTGCTGCTCATTAAACTCTGCCTCCAGCTTGCCAGCCTCCTCCCAGGGGGCACAGTGCCACTCCAGGCACTGACAAGTGGTGTCACTATAGGGAAGCCACATCTGTCTGTGCCTCTTAGAGACGTGTCTTAAAGAAGCTGGGAAAGCCAGAGCCACAGGACCTCTCCTGAACCTCCCAGCACTTGCAGCAGTGGTAGAGTAATAGTTGTGTTCAGGGTGGAAAAGCAGACAAGCCTCAAGGAAACCTGAAACAACCAGCCTGTGTCCTGCCGTTGCCAGCTGGTGTCAACTTTTCGTGTTCTGCCACTTGGACGATTCACTGAATCGCCCTTTCTATTCCATGACTTCACATTTTAGAGGTTGAAAAGCTAGATTGATCAGTTTTGCCATCGAAAATATTTGAAGAGTAAGTGAAGCTGATGTCATGTTACTTTGCAGTTAGTGGGATCTGGCAAACCTAATCCTATTACCCTGTCAAAACTGCACAAAGAGATCACCAGAAGTAGTATCTTAATGGCTTCTCAATAGAAGCGAGGAGACATAAATACACTGTTAAGTTTAGATAGCCTAGTGGTGACAGACCTTTGGGGTTTTTTATATATTGTGAGATAAATAATAACCACGGCATGTAATTAAGTTGATATCAAGTTCTGTTTAGCACCATGCCTTCCACCTGAACCATGAAAAGTGTCAAAGCCCAAGAACTGTGGCTGATGGTATTTTCAGTTAAAAGGCTTCTCAAGGTTTACGTGAGCATACTCAGTGAGGGCGGGCCAAATGAAAGAGCTCCTTTCTAAAGCACAACACTCTGATGTTATTTTCACGGAGCACTTAAATCCAGTTGGTCTTCTTTAGTCCCCCAATCAAGTATCAGATATGGTCAGACAGATGTGGGCTCTCCATCCTATCTAAACTGTTCTGAAGCACCTCCGTGTGTTATTCTGCTTCCCTGTGCCATCGGCTGTGTCATTGTAATCTTTATGCCTTGCTTTATGCTTTTGGCAGCTCCTCGGAAATAAATGAACTGAGGGCTAGATGAGAACGGTTTGGGCTCCTTGGTTTTGTGTACACTTGGTTTCTGTCTGCCTGTAATCTGAGAAGAACCGGTACAGGACAGCACTGTATGTGATAGCTCCTTAGGACCAGGGGTAAACAACCTGTTGGTAGGGCAGTGGTTTTGGTCAATTACTGGAAGATAATTCAGTGATCTTCCTTGATAGAGAAACTTATTTGCAGGAATCTTTTAGCAGTGATGCATAAAATACATTAGAACGATCCTGGATTGACGCCTAGAATTGCTTCTAAAATAGCAATGTAAAAACAGTTGTGAAGCCCCAAGCGGTATATTTGAGGGAAGTTACTTTGAGAATGGATGAAATGTGGGCATGCATGTGATTCATGTTCTTGCTTCGTAACTTCTTGCTTTTTGTTTACTGCAAATGCCAGTAGCCGGACATCAGGCTCACGTATTTCACATTACTGTATTTTCCTTCCGACTCTGTAGAAAAAGTTCTCATGGTCTGGAGATGTGACAGTCTTATCTAAACTGACACCTCCTATTTAATTTGCAGCACTGGGCAACACCCTTCTCAGGGTCTGTCTCTGGATGACATGAGAAGAAACTTCCAGTACCCACCAATTGACAAAAACGGTGAGTTAATGCAGAATACTTATCTGAGCATCTTGGTGTGGTTAACCAGAGCAGAGCTGCAGTTTCCTGAGGTACCAAAAAGTCTCATGAGGAAAATAATGTACAGCAAAGGCTGCTGGTTACAGTCAGTCAGAGCTGGCGAGGTCTCACCATGGGCGAGGTCTCACCATGTGCTCCTCGCAACTCATGGCTGCTTTCACCGCATGTGCGCCCCAAGCACTTTGGAGCTGGGATAGTCCTTTCTGTGAATAAGGAGAAGATGTGGCATTATATCCTCAAGGCTGCTTCTGCAAAAAGTGGGCAAGACAGTCCTATTTCTGGAGTACCACGAGAGCATAAAATGACACAACATATCCTTTTCACCATTTGCACTCCTCTCTCGGAGGGCATCCCGTTGTTCTGCTCCCCTCCAGAACAGAGATGCCCTGGCTGCTGCTTCCGCTCACCTTCCTGGCTTTCTGTCCTACTGCATTCGAGTGTGCGTTCGTGCGTTGCCACACAAATAGCTTTCCAGCATTTCCTAGCCCCTAACTTTGCAATCATCCCCAGTAAACCTCTCTTTGCTCGGGTCTTGTCTTGCAGGCAGCTCCTTGGGAATCTGTCTCTCTCCTGCCCTTTCTAAACAGCTCACGAGCTCACTGCCCGGTTCTTCAAGGTTTCCCAAGCATAGAATGGTTATCAGCTTAGAGCAGTTTTTAACCCAGCAGCATAATGTATAAATAAAACCTTAAATTAAAGAGCATATGAAAATGTAGTTGGCATTAGGGTGGTATCAAGCAGACTGGATAGAGGTCTTGGGTAAATCTTTCTTTCTTGGTGTGGATCTGAAGGTCAGATTCTTAATCTCACCTTCATTCACACTAGGCTCAGCTGCTCTGTCCTAGAAAGACCTGACACTGGTGTGAAGCTGCCCTGAGCTATACCACGCTATCGGGGTAGCATGTGTTTTATGCTCAGATGTGAAACACTACATTCCAGCTCAGTAACTTTCTGTGCAGCAATACTGAAGTGGGACTACACCTACGGAGTGCATGATTTTGGAAAGCCTCCAGCTGCTGCCCCACAGTGCTGTTTCTTCAACCAGCACCAGCCAATCTGTTTACCTGCACATCCTAAACTTCTCCAGGGCCATGCCAACAGGGTGTCACTGCCCCTTTTCAGCACTGACACACAGCCAGGGCCCATCCACTGCAGCTGCTGAGTTTGCTGAGCAAACATCAGCACAGCATCTGCGGTTACCTTTGCCTGATGACAGCACCACAGACCATGCTTTCACCATCTGCCCACAGCCATGCAGATATTCTGGATCTTGTCACCCCTTGGACAGGCCCAAGGATCCCTGCAGACAGAGCAATGCAAAAAGGTGTCTTCTGAAACCATTGCTAGAGGGATCATCGTACCACAGCACTGCAGTACACCCAGCAACACCAGATGCAAAACCAGACTCCGGTACACTCTTACAACAGCACCACAGACCAGGCAGAGAACAAGTCTGTGGTGCTGCCCATGCCAGCCACGTCTGTTCTGAAAGCAGGCTAGAGGGGTTTTGTCATCAGTATTCATATCAGCATATCATGGACAAAGGAGGCGAACAAAAATGGCAGGAGCCATAGGGCTGACATGGCGGAGAATTACAGCGGCATCCTCAGTATCAAGGAGTGGGGCTGGGCTTTGATGGACAACACGGACTTCTAAGGACACATGTGCACCACAGTCGCTGTCACCCAAGAGTGCCCAGTGGGAAGGCGTCTCTGTGCTTACTGTGAGCAGGGTTGTTCTGTGCTGTGTAAAGTCTCTGTTTCTCCACGGCGCACCTGCTGAGCACCTACAAGGAAAATGCTTTTCTGTATGCTCTATGCTTACATACGTTTTTCTGTATGTTCAAATGGCAACTGTGTTGTGTGGACCCATTGACTTTGCGGTATTGCCATCCTCATTGCTGCTGTCCCCTGCCCTGGGGCCTTCTCACTCCTCTGCTGGCATCTGCTCCCTTTCTTGCCACTTTCCAGCCTGTTTTGTCACCAGGAGAATACAGTCTTTTGTTCTGCCTGAAGCATATATCAGAAGCCCATCAACTCACCATCTTTGCTGTTTTTCACTGGCCTCAGCACGACTCTTGCGCTCCCTCCTCTCCTCTGAACTGAGCATATTGGTTGAGAGAAAGAGAAAACCTGGTCATATAAATATTTAGTGAGTACAGTGCTAACAGCAGTGTTGCTGTCATTATGAGTAGTGAGGTAATGACCTTTGAAACTGAAAAAAGAACAAAAACTTTGTTATTACTTGTCATATGCGGATTCCACAGCTGCAGAGACCAGTTCCTCGGGCACAGCTTTCATCAGGTACCTGGTAACTGGAAAACTCAAGGAGGAAGAAAACAAGAGCAAAACAGAAATGCTCAGTGAACTCCTAGAGTAAGACCATGCAGGCAAGACTGGAGAGGGTTTCTCAAGTCTGTATTAAAAAGGGACACAAGGGAGTAAAGGGATGGTGGAGAAGAGACTCTCCATGGCTACATTTAAACTGTGGGATTAAGGAGTGATTTCAGACTCCACTCATGAGACCTCAAAATTTATTTTCAAATATACCTGCTCTTTCAATTATAGTTTCCGCAGAAGGGACCCAAAGCATGCAAGTGGGAAGGGAGGTGGTCCCAGACAGACCTCCACGTTGCTGATCAGAATACCAGGACCGCGGTGCAGCACTGCTTGATCACAGCCAAGAGTTGGCCAAGCTGAGCCTTGCGCTAACTCAGGTAACAATGGAAAAAGCCAGCGTGGTACAAAGTGAAGATCCTGGCTGCTAGGCACTACAGGACTGGAAAGGTTACTCCTCGCCACATGCTTCATTTCAGCAGGTTTATGGAACTCAAAGTTGAGTCCTGCAGTGTCACCAGGATATGTATCTTGAGGAACAACAAAATCACAGTCCCTTGTTGCAAAGCACCAAACCCAGCTTCTCTGGAGGCTCACCATAGCACTCTGCAAGCCCAGCCACCCCTTGTTCTCACTGCATCCCATGCTTTGAGATCCTGGTAGAGTGATCAAGCCATTGCAATGCATAGTGGCACACCAGAAGACAGAAAGCCCTGAGCCCTTTTTTATTAGAATGCTTGGTCCAATGATTGCAAATATTTGCACTCTTTATTTATGCCACATAATCCAATTTCACTGCTGTCTCTCCCCATTCACATCCATTTTGATCTTTTTTCTTTCTGTTTGCTTTTTGCCTAATGTTTTCCATTATCCTCATTTGCGCTTGCAGTCTGTAAACAATAAAGAATACGTTCACTGTTTTCCTTTTTCAATAAAAGCCCCAAAAGCACCCTGCTCCCATTCCTGCAAGAGCCTTTCTGATAGTGAACAATTTCCTTCACTGAGTGTATTTGAAAATAGGAATTTTACAAATAAACACAGCCCTGACTTCTTCAGTGAAAGCAAAGGACTTGCTCTTCATGGGAAGTTTCACAAAATGTAAGTTAAACTGTATGTTGAAAGCAGTGAAATCACACGAAGCAGGTACACAATGCACAAAGGAAACAGTATATCTTCTAAAGTTTGAGACAGGTGTAAACACAGAGTTTGACTTTGGCTTCTCCTTGCTTGCTGCAGCTCTCAGATGCTGGCAGACAAGCTCGTGATGCTGCTGCAACAGTCCTCAAAGTTTCCCAACTGCAAAGGTGGCCCTGGCAAGGCTTGCAGCACGAAGCTGTCCTGCAACACAAGGCAGCGCATGCACTCACTGAGTAGCCACACAACAGTGTAAGCCCAGGCTGTGGCATGGAAAGTGCCCCCTTGGCACTTGGAAAGGGCACCATCCATCTGAGAAGACATGCATCACTGGCAGGCAAGAAGGGACCCTTGGGAGTGAGGCATGCCAAGCATCCTCGTGGTCTTAATCCTCAGAGGCACTACAAGGAAAAGGAAAAAAACCATAGGATATGGTCAAAGGGGTCGGAAACATGAAGGCATCTATTAAAGAGAAGGTTCACCATTGTGTGGCAGCAGTAACGCAAATGGAATTGATGGCAGAGCATGTGGACAGTCTCCCACCCAGCGTGATCAGTGCAAAGGATCGTCACCACAGCCAGAGAGATCCTCAAAAGCACGTCCTGCTCCCATAGTGTGCCCCGTTGCAGCCCTGCGTTCCTCACACGCGCAGTGACGCGCCATGGCTCTGCCTTCAGCAATGACATGTGCTGCCTTCGCCTCACTGGGCACATTCAGCACATGCCAGAACAGCCGCAGTGTTAACACCCAGCATATTTAGGATAGGAGTGAGATTCCCTTAAGGAAAGCTTTGCTGATAGCTTTCAAAGCATTGTGTGTCATGATTAGGAGATAACCCAAGGTTGCTTATGGATTACAGTTTAAGGATCCTGTAGTCAGTACTGTTGTAATTACCAGAGTCTTAATTTTGTGCAGCCGTGTGTCTTTTATGCTTGACAATAGGAATTTGGCACACAGGAGCCTTAGCAATGTTTTCTCACCCATCTTCCACCCCACCCTGCGCCCAGAAAGTTTTTGTGTTCTAGTTTCTCTGCCCTCTTGTTTCCCGAGCACCTGAGTATCTCTGCACAACGCCTAGTTATCAAGAAATCTGAGTTGGCTGCACTGGATTTTTAGTGTTAGTACAGTAAATAAGAAGCATGGAGCAGCTGACCGATGGCACCATGTAAAGGGGGAAACAGTTTCCTTGGCGTTGTTGGAGCAGCTCATTGGAAATACGGT